TCCATATGGAGAAATTATATTTGTTTAACAATCGTATTCATGGAGAAATACCAGCAACCATTGGGGGTCTCCAAAACCTGCATGAGTTGATTTTAAAAGGTAATTCGTTTACTGGGCAAATACCTGATACGATTGGTAGACTCCGTAGCTTGCTGTATTTGGACATATCAAATAATAATTTATCAGGTCCACTGCCAAAAACAATGTGTGATCTGTGCAACTTGACCATATTGGATTTGTCTCAGAACCACATTGGTGGAGAACTAACCAATCTATTTGATGGTTTATCTGCCTGCACACAATGGACATCTTTACTATCCTTATATATGCAGCACAATCATTTAAGCGGTACTATTCCTTCGAGTATGGGTCAAGTATCTCAATTACAAGATTTATACCTCTCCTCAAACTCTCTAGTAGGTAACATCACCGAAGCACACTTTTCTAATCTCACAAACTTATTAGGATTTACCATATCTTCCAACTCCTTGAACGTGATCCTACCGAATGATTGGCATCCCCCTTTTAATGTCGAATTTATTGGCATGAGCTTTTGTCATTTAGGAGCTGAATTGCCTACTTGGCTTCAAACTCAGACGCAATTGACAACTCTATATCTATGTGGAGTAGGACTCTCGGGTAACCTCCCAATTTGGTTTTCAAATTTCTCGAGAGGGTTACAGAGTCTTAACATGAGCTCTAACAATTTACGAGGTCGACTACCTTTCGTTCCTCAATTGATGTTAGACCTCTCTAATAACTCATTTGTGGGACCTATTCCCCCGAGCTTTACAAAAGCTACAAAGCTCTCTCTATTGTCTTTATCTCATAACCATATCAATGGTCGTCTGCCTCCCTTCTTTTGCAATATGCAATCGCTTCAGGTCCTTGATCTATCTAACAGTCACTTAATCGGAGAAGTACCAGATTGTCAGAACTCATTTCCCATCTCTCTACAGTCATTACATTTGAATAATAACAATATGTCCGGAACAATTCCTTTGTTTTTGAAACATTGTCACAAATTAGTTACCCTTGATCTTGGTGAAAATAAATTGCATGGCAGAATTCCAACATGGATAGGAAGAAACCTCTGGTCGTTGAGAGTTCTTCGTCTGAGGTCAAACGTTCTATATGGTACCATCCCAATGAATATAGTGAATCTCACTTCTCTCCAGCTATTGGATCTTTCTTCCAACAATCTAACTGGCAGTCTACCATCATCTCTTGGAAATTTCAGCGCCATGGTTGAGATACAAAATAATATCACGTCAGTGCTTCATATCGAAACATATTATTATGAAGAGAGCATCTTGATGACCACAAAAGGATCAACGATTGATTACACAACCATTCTTTCGCTGGTGACATGCATAGACTTGTCAAATAATCATCTCTCTGGTGAAATCCCAAAAGAACTGACAAAGCTTCTCGGATTGCGCTTCCTAAACTTATCCAACAATCATTTGACGGGGAGGATTCCAGAAAAGATGGGTGACATGAAAATATTGGAATCGCTTGACTTATCTGTGAACAGTCTGATCGGGGAGATACCTTCAAGCTTTTCTGCTATGCATTTCCTGGAACGTTTGAATCTGTCTTACAACAACTTATCAGGAAAAATACCCACGAGTGGTCAATTGTCGACCTTTGACTCATGGACATATGTGGGTAATAAAGGCCTTTGCGGTATGCCGCTGCCAGATTGCCCTGTTTATCAAACTCCACCTGACGCCAGAGTTAAACATGAAGATGATGGGAAGCTCGACAAATTATTGGAGTACACCAGTATTGTGGTCGGATTTGTGGTTGGCTTTTGGCTGTTTATTGGCACACTCATCTTGAAGCAGGCCATCAGATTCGCTTTCTTCCGATGGATCGACAAAACCAGCGACTGGGTCTATGTTCAGTTTGCAGTAAAACTTGCGAAGCTCAAATCCAAATGGCAAACGATGACATGAACTGTGGGTAAGCGCTCGAGTGTGCCACCTCTTCTATTAGACCTGAATGTCATGTTGTCCTTCGTAGTTAATCGCATCAAAATCTCGTGTTAGCATGTAATGGTGTTATCATATTATGCTGTCATGATTAAGCTGAAATAAGCATCATAGATTCTCTGTATACATTACATGTATTAGTTCTAGTATCATAACATCTCCATCCATCATCACTTTGCTATCGCCAGGCCTTCGCTTATGGATTGATACATACATATCTGACAACTAAAAAGATTAATTGCAAGAGTGTATGTCATACTCTGTTTGCTAACGAAATAGTTAATCCACTTATATTTAATCAATGTTTTAGAGGGAAGATTGTGTTCTTCTGTTAGTGTCCTTACGATAGAAAAAAAATCAACTACGTTATTATGATCAAATTAGATAAAAATAATGACAATCACAGTGTGGAGAGACAATTAGACAATAAAATTGTGACAATTGATGTTTTATTCGAGTGAAGAATCTTTCTTTTCTGATATGAGATTTTATATTTTATATTTCTGAGATGAGATTTTTCGAGTGAAGAATCGATGTTTTATTCTCAGTGAAGAATCTTTCTTCATTTTCTACCAGAGTACATATATATTTTTTCTGCAAAAATAAAATCCATGTCCGTCATTTTTTTAAAAAAGTGAATTATTATTAATAAATAAGTTTTATAAATTCGTATCAATCCCACTCTAGACTGCTTATTCCTATCATTTGGGTGCTAAAGCTTGAGACCTTTAATAATTATCTTAAGAGAGATATTCTATGTTTCTTGAATAAGTTTTTCTGTTAATCAACATTTTATGTTATGTGCGCTTGTTTCAGTATTCATTACATAAGAATATATATATATATATATATATATATATATATATATATATATATATATATATATATATCTATATATATATATATATATATATATATATAGATATATATCTATATACGTATGT